CCGAAACATTGTGCCGGGCTGAAGAAGCCCGCCAAATTGCTCGCTTGCGCACACTGGCATCACAAGATCGCTCCAAGCAACGATACGATCAACGCCATGATGCCATTTCATTCCGCAAAGGTGAATTCGTGTGGTTGTGGACTCCCCAACGAAAACCTGGTTTATGTCGGAAGTTTTTACCACAGTACACAGGCCCCTACGTCATTGTAGATCGCTTGACAGACTTGACGCACGTTGTGGCACGCTCGACGACACCTTCTCGTCAGTCAAATCGAACGCAGTTGGTGCACGTGGCTCGCCTCAAGAAGTTTCATCCCTCCAGTGACATAAACTCGCCCAGCGGGCTTCGTCTGTGACCCGGGGATTGCTACGGTATGAGCCGGGCTGTAGTATGTGCCGGGTAGGTAGAAGAAAAAGACGACGTTGTCTGGTGCGGCCTGAGGACTCCATCTTTACCGCGACTGCCGAACTTCATCCTCACCCTGTAAATAAATCCACCTATTCTTAATTTCAACCGTAACAATATAACTACATAAAGAAAGGCAAAAGTCCGGAAAAAACGCGAGCTTCTGAGCCCCTCCCCCCTTCCGCGTACAATGTTTGTCGTAAAAATAAATAGCAATTCAATTGTTTCACCTATAGCTGATTATTGTAACATATTTCATAAAACTAGTTAGCCCTCACACGACAAGAGGACCGTAATAAGCTTACGAAGCAATAAAGCTCGTAGCTCCCGCAAGCTATTATAGTAAAAATGGAACCTCTTGGAGTCAGAAAGTAATATGTGTACATAATGTGTCGTCTAAGTGCTGTTCTTTTGAAGATTCGCAACAGTTTTTTCCTGCATACTAAATGGTATAATAGTAGACTAGGTAACATCGGTTGATATCGCGGTGTCTCCATGAGCTAACATTCACTAAAACAATATAAAACATACCACACTCAATAACAAGGCATACACCCGGTGTTTCAAGGAGCTCAAATTTAACGTTACGTCGCTATATAGAATATATGGCAAAGCAACAGTAAATAAATATTGGCTTTTTGAAGCGACTCATGCATCTAGCCAGCCGGGAATCCAGACTTGAAGCATCGCTGCAAGTTTTTACAGCACGTGAACATAGAAAAAAAAACGATCAGGATTAACAGAAAAAGTGCTCTGTCTATCCTGTTTCCTGTTTTCTACGTTCGCGCGATGACAAAACTTCCAAATATGACTACGCACCAACTAGCCCAAGCTTTCATCGTTGTGAGTTACAGTTGAAGCATCGTATTTTCGTGTACGTTCTTCCCGGGATCTGTACCCCCCTGCACATTACTAGTACTATAATTTACTAGCTTTTCTGCATGAAGTAGCCTGTCATCTTACTTGTGGCACTAAACAACTTCGTCCTAGAAATTGTTTAACTAATTCCGCTTCCAGAATACTTGGGAAAGAGCAAAGTTTGCTGGCGTACCTTTCGTCTGTGTTTCTAAGATTGGCAAATCTTTTATAAGTGTATCTTTGCTCTTAATAAACACTCTTTGTTACTAATCTTTTCTCTCAGGTGGTAATAAAAAGTTTGATTGCATTTGGATTACTATGTTATTGCACACATGTTTACTACTGTACCTGTCTTTGTGTGTGTGTGTGTGTGTGTGTGTGTGTGTGTGTGTGTGTGTGTGTGTGTGTGTGTGTGTGTGTGTGTGTGTGTGTGTGTGTGTGTGTGTGTGTGTGTGTGTGTGTGTGTGTGTGTGTGTGTGTGTGTGTGTGTGTGTGTGTGTGTGTGTGTGTGTGTGTGGTGTGTGTGTGTGTGTGTGTGTGTGTGGTGTGTGTGTGTGTGTGTGTGTGTGTGTGTGTGTGTGTGTGTGTGTGTGTGTGTGTGTGTGTGTGTGTGTGTGTGTGTGGTGTGTGTGTGTGTGTGTGTGTGTGTGTGTGTGTGTGTGTGTGTGTGTGTGTGTGTGTGGGTGTGTGTGTGTGTGTGTGTGTGTGTGTGTGTGTGTGGTGTGTGTGTGTGTGTGTGAACCAGGGGAGAGGTGTGCAATTTACCCTGCATCTGTAGCACACACTCGTTTACTATGATGACACTTTTCTTATAGGGTGCACAGTCAAGCGAACACCCGTGTAGACAAGTATTTTTTTTCTTGTCACATCCGCTTATGCGGACTTTCTATGGGGGACTTTCTTCATTTTTGTTGAACCAGTGATGATTAGTGGGATTTACCCCGTTTTTGTGAAACAGCCCTTTGTGATCAGCGTTACCACGCGGCGGACGTGAAAGCACTTATTATGGACTGCATCGCTGTTCAGCAAAATTTGACAAGCCTCCACTCACAAAGCGAGAAAGATTTTTCAGATTATAATTCAGTCCATATCCAAGCAACACATTACTTCCCTGGTCACATATTTTACCGTCATCCCGTACTTCAAATCCCAGCTATCATTATCTCAAGACTAACATCAGCCTCGCCCGGGTGGTTATGTGCAAGATTTCACCTGTAACGTTGTGTGTAAAAGAACGGAATGACATACCCTCAAGTGGGGTCAAATTAACGCACTTTTTTAGAGCGAAGCTATTGAAACTTGTGGCGAAAAGTCGGGTGTCCCTCACCTCCCCTCATACTAATTTCTAGAGTATCAACCTAGCCAACTGACCACGAGCGCATCATAAGCGCTGCTGGTAAGTCACGTCGTACATGACAAGCATGTTATTGTTTTTGTGTTCGCACGCACCATTTATTTTTCTTATACAGTCACGTCAAGCCATGCAAAGTTTCGTTTATATGGAGCGAGTGAAACGGTCGCGGCAAAACATGAGCGTACCATACGTATTAAAGAACCAACTTATGATTTTTATGTCACAACTAGTCAATTACGTCACTCATACAAACATATACTGCGTCATAACATTTTATATAAGGCCGCGAGTCCTTAATACACTGGTGGGTGAACGAGCACCGATCGGTTATCTATGTGGCGAAATTGCTGAGTGCGCGGCAGCGAAGAGAAAATGAATGTTGTACACTTTTTTTATTGTAGTGACTTTACTTGGAGTCACAGCATAGTACACAGTTACGACACGTCCGCTGATATCAACCTTAACGAGTTTGCCCCTAGAGCACGATATGCCTTCTTGTGTTCTCGTCTTGAGCTATCCAGCTAACTCGATAGCTTAAGGCTCCCAAGCGCATATCAGACTGCTGGCACAATGGCGCCGGTTGAGGTCACCAACCACGGCCTCCGAGACAGCTCGCAGCCAAATAATTCTCGAGAAAAATAGCCAGCGCGAAATCTCGGAGGCCATTAGTCGACATAAGAGTCGACACCATGGGCCTGGCCAAGAGGAGGGGCGGGAAAGAAACCGCAGGTTCATATTCTTCTTAATTTTTATCATTTTGTTTGCGTCATATAGACGCACCCTTAGAAACGCATGCATGAGCGTGCATAAAATACAGCAGAGCTTACCCCCCCTCTCCTTCCCTCATATTGATAGTGATATGAGGGGTTTAACGTCCCAAAACCACCATATAATTATGAGAGATGCCGTAGTGGAGGGCTCCGGAAATTTCTACCACCTGGGGTTCATTAATGTGCACCAAAATTTGAGCACACAGGCCCACATTTCCGCCTCCATCGGAAATGCAGCCGCCACCGCCGGGATTCGATCCCGTGACCTGCGGGTCAGCGGCCGAGTACCTTATCCACTAAAACACCACGGTGGGGCCCACCTTCTCTCATACTTTTTTTTGTTGTTGTTGCAGAACAAGATTACCGGACAGCTCTTATTGTGTTCGCCGCAATATTGATACCTTTTCGCTCGCAAAGAGAGCTCAGTGTACCGTAGAAACTGACTGCTACAAAATTTCCACTGCAATCACCTTCCATTATGCAAAATTTTCAACATTGCTTTTTTGACGTGTATGCTGTTTTTGCTTGTATTCACTTTCAAGGAACGAAAGATGCACAAAGTAGGTGCATCTTGTAGGTTTGTGGTATTTATCTTTTATATATGTCGAGATGTATGCGTGGCGCCCCCTCTCCATGCAGCTTCTTAAAACGAATTGCGACATCGTTCCTGGAATGACAAGCGGTGTGTATGCCGTTTAGGCACGTGGCATTAGCTTTTCTTTAATAGCTTCACGAAAGAACACTCTTGACGCAATAAGTATTTTTGGCGGTTTTCTTTCAAGAAGAAAAAGTAGGGACGTGCTTATGTTCTTCCGAAAGCATCGGTGGGCATGCAGGTGTGTCAAAATTCGCATAACATTATTCTCAGATGGGTCACTTCTATCTGTCGCATGGCTGCATGAAGTCTTCCACCTTTCCGTGTGCTTCGGCGTCACGTATTCTAACTTGGTAGGCGATAGCAAGAGATGAGAACAGCGTGGCACTCGCGTCCTCCACTGTTTGTATTTGTTCTTTTCGCGCACTCATTTGTGTCACGATTATCCTTCACTTGCCCTCGTGCGTCTCTATATGCTTTCATTAAGATATGATGCAACCAATTGAATATAAATGCTGACTGCGGACTGAGTGCCATGCAGTTGACCTTTTTTTTTTCATCTTGTTCGCACGTATGTGTTCTAGCGTAAGGAATTGAAAAATACGGTCATTTCTTTTCTAAAGTCAGTTGGATAACATTATGCTTTATTCTAGGCTGCGCCGTTGAGCGAAATTTACAAAAAGATGGATTATGTGCAATAAAGTTACTAAAACGGCCCCGCAGCATAGCCCTCGCATCGGCCGTACTGGACCGAAAATGTCGGCTGGCCGGATGAGTGCGGTACTTTTCCCGTTGCATTGACTTTACCCCGAGGATTCCTACATGTGCATGTACTAACATACAGCTGTGTGTCCAGAAATCGAACACCCTGATGTAACAGTTCTCTGCGACTCGCTTCTGTGTCCTCCAATCATTTTGGCACACGGATATCGCAACACGAAAATTTCCACACTTTGACGAAGCTGCAGCTTTACACACATACGCTGTTGAAGCGTGCGTATGTTGATAAGTACTTACTGTAGACCTCTTCAATGAACTTGGGATTTAATCGTCGTCCAAGGCTTCCCACAAGTACGGTTATGTTGATCAGCCTGTTCACGGCTGGTTGTCGGACATCGGCGCCGATCCAGTTTGTGGAGCTTATGACCTTTTCGAAGGCTGTGCGGATTCTGGAGGTCATGCGCTTCGTCTGGTACAAAACACGCGGTGTAACTTCTGTCCAGTAAAAAAGAAAAAAAAACATACATGTAACTACACTACTATAAGCTGCATTCGTTAGAGATTGGCGTATTTTTGGGATATATTCATTTCATGAGCATTAAAGCAAGCCGTAGCCATCACTACAACGCTCGCGGAAGTACCATGTGTTATATCCTCCATAGACACTCGCGCCAGAGTTGTATTTGGTGTACTTATAGGAACATTTGCAGCTTTTGATGGAGGTGAGCAGGGGAGAATCAGTAGATCCATATGAGAAAAAAAAAGATGGCTTTCACCTTCAAGCATTCTTAGACGAATGCACACGAGGGCCTTCGAGTTTATCTTTATTTTTTTCTCTAACTTATCATCATGAGGTGTTAACCATGGTCTATTGGGTTAACAGTAATCAGCGTATAATCGCCAGAGGGAGTAGCAGCATCAGGGCCGTTTCGTAGTAAAGATTTCAGCCTTGGTCATCCCAAGTGCCGTAACAGCTCTGATTACGTGCTGCCACGAGCACCATTTTCTGCAAACACTGAAGTCATCGGCGCCGTTACGAACTCTCTTTTCCACCCCGGAATGTACTCGCTGGTCTGCCGCTTATGTGGCAGCCACATCGCCAACTATGAACACATATTTTACTCCTGCCCGGCACACTTTCCCTTTGCCTTTTTGCACCTCAGAATTCCGCGGCAGTGGGAGCCTGCTTTGTCCAGCACCAGGCCGGACCTGCAACTTCGGCTGGTCACTTGGGCGGCGGACGTCGCGGCTAGGTACTGCCTGAAGGCCACAAACGGCAGCCTGAAGGCCTCCCACGACACTGCTTTTGAAAATTTTTAAATATTATGCTACTTTTTGGCCTTCACGTGAATAAAGACTTTCACCACCACCAGAAGCACTACCATCTAACCCATTGCATTAGCATCACCCCAGCAGTACACGTGCAGCTGCGTGCTCAGCAGTTTTCATTTAGGTATAATAAAAAACAATAAAACAACAGTGCAAGAAGGCCAGAGACAAAAGACAAGACTGGACGGGTGCCCGTTTTGTCCTTTTCCCTCTTGTGTTCCGTCTTTTTGCATTGCGCTTTCTATTTCAGACAGTGCAGAATTTCCATGTCAGCCGGAGTCTCGTACGAAAATTCGGGACGCTAGCATGCGTGTTAATATAAAAGAGACGAAAATATGTCAAGCAACTATGTTAAACCTCTAATAAATATTCGAGCATGTTTACGAACTTCCTGTTAGTAGTTCACGGGAGAGCCAACAGGCAAATGCATTCCTATTCATTTGATCAACTGGACATAATTTTCGGAATTGAGCAGCTTCTTCAAGGGCACTTTAAATAGAGACGCCTGTGTGGGTGCCATGGGGATAACATGGTAAAGTTTACTTACTCTCCATGAAGTAAGGGCTGATGACCGCAAGATTCATTGTTTTTCTTATGTGACCATAGCAAGCGCTGCTAGGACTCTTGCCATCAAGCACCGATTGCGGCTCAGTGTGACGCACGAGTTGCCTATAGAAGCTCCAGGCGACCAGGTATCGCAGGCCGATGGCGCCCGCAGCATCATTCTTGAGCATTTTCACGAGGATACTCGTACTCGCTGGCAGATGCGTAATCGTGTCTGAAGCCCCATAAGTACCTTTCGTGTACTTGTAGAAGAAGTCGGCCATTCGATCTGGTGAGAGCAAAAAACAAGTGCATGGCGATAAATTAGTATTTATCTACAGTCAGTGTGCAACTTCGGATGCGAGTTGGCATTTTCGTCTTGCAGGTGCGTTTGCACACGCCTGCACGCACGAACGTGAGCTCTCATACTATTATCTGGGGTTTTACTTCCCAAAACCTGGATTTAATTATGAGAGACGTCGTAGTGAAGGGCTCTGGGAATTTCGACCGCTTGCTGTTCTTAACGTGCGCTGAGATTGCACGGCACCCGGACGTCTACCATTTCCTCACCATTGAAATGCTATATACCGCCGCGGACGAGATGGAACCCACGAGCTTCGGGTCAGCAGCAGATTGTCTTGACCAGTGTTCCACCACGGCGGATAATGCGCACAAGCTCTGGGCTAACGCTGTATTACACTCATTCGGTGAACCCATGTTCTTCGCTTTGATCAATTGCCGAGTGTCTCGTTACTTTGAAGTTTAACCTAATTATACCTAATTTGGACAAAATGACTGCTAGTGTAACTCAACTGATAGAGCAATCGCCGTGCTATCGAAACGTAGTAGGTGTGGTCCCTTCCAGGGAAAAGTTGTCTTTTTATTCTTTCACTATCGACACAACATGCCTCCTGCACTGTATAGTAAACGCTACCAATAATCTCTGTTATGTTAGCCCCGGCTTTACTTTGGTTTAATTAAATCGTATTTAACAAACAAACGCTGAATTGTTTAAGTCTCGCTTTCGATCCAGCTGTAATGGTACCATAGTTGCGTGATTCCCCTCGTGTGATTCTCCTGATAAACACTCCTCCCTGTCTTTCTTCATACCATCTCTCTCTCTCTCTCTCTCTCTCTCTCTCTCTCTCTCTCTCTCTCTCTCTCTCATAAACTCTGCTCATACGAAGTGAGGTGAATCTTAACTTGATAGTCATTGAACAGCCGCTAAGTATACTCCTACAATGAATTTTGCCTCCATGTAGGTAATTCTGTTGTCGTGCCTCGGCAACACAACGGTGTCTATATACTATTCACAGCTTTTTTATTAAGGCGTTGCAATGGCGTTGAGCGTTATATTGACATGAAATGTTGCTTCGCACTGACATGACGTCACATGAGGACGTCGTCACATTAATTTCGTCGACTGGTCAAAGGTGGGCCTCTCAATTACGCAAGGCACTGCCAGGTGAGATACAGAAACATTGTAATGCTCCGCTACTGGAGACAATGCAGAATCCCGCAGGGTGAGAACCCATTCGAAGGGGGAGGGAGAACAGCGACAAATAGACTAATGAGGAAATTTCATCTTCAGCAAATGGACCAGGAACCGTGTGCGTTTCTTAGTTTCACATGAGCAACGACAAGGCAATATCACGCCATTAAGCTGACTACAATATTAAAACAATAGTTTTAAGGAGCCCGCGTTACAGATGACTCCGCTATGTCTCGGGCACACTCTGTGCACGAAAAAAATTCTGGCGGATACATACTGTAATTACAATTATGCATACTGTAAAAGTTTAGAATTCAACGAAGATCTCATCTGGACATTTTGATGATTGATATGTGGGGTTTAACGTCCCGAAACCACCATATGATTATGAGAGACGCCGTAGTGGAGGACTCCGGAAATTTTGACCATCTGGGGTTCTTTAACGTGCACCCAAATCTGAGCACACGGACCTACAACATTTCCGCCTCCATCGGAAATGCAGCCGCCGCAGCCGGGTCATCTGCACATTTTAAAGCTAGATGACACACGTTCTGCAGGGCCGTCAACTTTTTTTTTACTGCTGAGCTATGCGATTGCACATGTGGTGAAATACACGAAAAGGGCCATGAAGGGCGTCAAGCCCGACGAGAAGTTACGGTAGCATCTGTGCCATGTCGCCTGAAAGAATAGCCCTAGCTGTCACACACGATATAAACTGCGTCTTCGCTGCAGTCTATTATTACTGTTCACTTGGTACAAAGTGCAGAACCATAATACACCGTCATCGTGCACTGCAGCTCCGACCAACTGAGCGTCTCTTTGGGCTGCGAATGTCTCCGTAAAAACATGTTGTAAAGCATTGCTACTTTGCAAAATCGTTAATTGCAACTTACTGGTAATTGAGCAAGTGTGTTTGCTATAGTCCTAAGTCAGCCGAGAATGTTTTAATGAGTCGACAACGTTCATTGTCTTGTGGACCATTGGAGGTGCTTGCTAAGAAGCGAGGATCGGCAAGTGAATGGCAAGGCAATACGAACGAGGCCAGATAAGTTAATCGCGTTCCACTCTTACAGGCAAGCCTTAAGCATCCAGAAAGTTTTGTGTCACGGGTGATAACAACATATAAAATTCACACCTTGTTCACGCCCCTTTGACATCTATCGACTAACCTTTATGCTTTACTTACTCTCAGTGGTTGTTGATGTGTTCCTGAGAACCAGCCTGCAGTTGAACTTCTACATCTGTGATAGGATGATAGGACCACAGTGAATTTAGGTTCTTTAGGCGCCTCGTTGACTGCGGAAGCTATTGGACCAGAGCCCGACAAAGCTCGAATGATTTCTTCTTTCTGCAATACAACTCTCTGTTCACGATTTCCACACATTTGTTGGCCTCTCTTTACCTGTTTTCCGTCCTATAAATATTTTTTTCGAGCTTGGCACGACCACTTCGATCACACGCTACAGCATTTTCACGTTGATTATCCTGCTTTCGTCGCAACCCCTTATATCTCACTTTGATTATTATACCCCTACGGCAGCAAGTACCAATGCATGTACTCACGCTATAAGTGCGACATCTGGCCAAACGGCTGCGTTTTCACGTTAGCTGTCTCGTTTCGAGCCGATCACCACTGTACTCGATTGCATATAGGGAGTGTGCCACCCTTCTTCGGGCTGTGACTGTATACTTCTTCGGTCACGCGTTCTCAGTCGTCGCTTACCGCCGTTTCCTACGCCAGCATTGATTCCTGAACCATCCAATCGACCGTCTTGGAGTGAACTAAGTGACTGCCCGTGTAAACGTAACTAACTTTAAATATCGCAATGAGCTTGTCCTAACCTATCGCTTATTGGATTAACCCCACTGTAACTACAGTGATACAGCGATCTGACGCTCGAGTTATATTAGATAAGAAGAAAGGCGACATGTCGCACTACGATAAATGATTTTGTAATTGATCTTTACTCCTTTCGAGCCCGACTTCCACATCTTTTATTCCACGAAGAAAATGACCATCAACGTAGTGTGTTACGTGACGACCCACGGCTGATCCTGGTAATCATTGATTTATGGCATAAACCGTATTTGCTCCACTTCTCAGCCTTCCTATGATAGGCCACTTTTGCACTTCTCGTATATATTCTTTACTTGTAAATAACAATAATAAGTCAGCAGAAAGCCACGGCACATTTCACTCAGTGAGCGTCGACTTCTTGACTTTTCGCCGAAACGCTTTTTTCAGGCTATTTCCCACTATGCGGTGTTAGCACCTCTCAAAACAACGCAACACAACATTCAACGGCAAAAGCGCCGATCTGGAACGTCTATAACACCACAGAGGGAGGGTCGCAGCACTTGCGCCTTGATAAGTAGATAACGACACGTGATACCTGAGCAGTATAGGTTGCAGAATCATCCACGAAAATTTAGTACGCATAGTGTCATTTGGTGATTTGGTGGGGCTTCTAAAAAATACTAGCACGCCATGTTGGGGACAAGATAACGAGGTAATCTGATATAGATAATTCGTCCCGATGCCACTCGTCGTAACGGTGCTTCTGCATTTCTTGACATACTATCAATCTGTTGCGGGAGAGCTGACGGGCTTAGCCAGCACAGGCAAAAGCATTCTGTGCGTATTCTGCGGTCGACTCTGTCGCTGCTGAAATGAAGGTATCTAATGGCAATATTTTTTTTTTATTTTTTGCGTCCAAAAAAAGGCAATATAGTGAGTATCCAGCTGTTTCGAGCCGAAAGGCGTTGTACGGGAACGTCTCGTGTGACAGTGCAATGTCGTAGTCACGATGGTCAGTCGACACTTATTTCGGAAGCATGCATGCCAGCATCCCGTTCAATTGCCTCCTGAGCCCGTCTTTCTTTGGGGTGGCACGAGGTCATGAGCTTCTATGCCGGGTAGCGTTGCACGGGGAAGTGCTGCACGGCTGGAATAGTTTCTCGATTTCGCGATTTTCGGGGCTCGAGTCATTTTCCCAATGCATCAACAATATGCCCAGGGCTAGCAATTCGGCGGCAGCCCAGCCGGCACTTCAACAAGTTCTACGTAAGCGTGGCGAGACGGAACATTTCCAGAGTATTTTAATATGAGTTTCGAACGTGGGTCCAAACACAATTAGTCATCTAATTAACATACACACGCATACTACATGAATTATTCAAGGAAGTGGTCCGTTATTCCTTCGAATGGTGTTGACAGATTGCATTACGAACAATATGACCACCCAAGCCACCGTTTACACTCACTTTATATTTTTTATCTTTGTGCCAGTATGCCGTTTCCCATGTTTTTCAGTGTCGAGAGAAGCCATGCTTCAATCATAGTGGTCCGCTTTAACTCTCGCTCATTAACCTCATTGCTGTAAGATCAATGCACTTTTTTCTTCGTGTCAGATTATGTGGCTCCGTTTCGTGTTTACCGCGAATCGGCTTACTGCATTGTTCGATATCTGCATTGAAAGTCATCACCACAGACTATTTGTTTTGAATGCTACTGCCTTAGAAAGAAAAAAAACGCCTTTGGCTTTTATATCAAGGAAGTGGCTTCTTAGTGGCGCGTCATTGCAGTGTGACGTCGTAGTAAAAAAACCATTCCCAGCGTACTAATGGCAGATTTGTCCTTTATAGACAGCTGTCCACATTAAATAATTCATGTTTTCCCATGTATTGATTTTGACGTTCAATATATGCTTGTAAATGCGATTTCTCGCGCAATAGGGGTCAGCGCAGAGTTCATTCCGCTAAGCCACAGCCTAATTGAGTATAAGGGGGGAGGGGGT